TTTACCATAGGAAAATATTGGTATACAAATATAATCACTTCTCCAAAAGGTAACTCATTTTAAGTATAGATTATTTATTTATATATAATAATAATAATATTAATATTAGTAATAAGCTTTATATTTGTATAGCACCTATTACAAGCATTGTAGCCAAACTGGCTTCACAGCAGTTCAATAAACAGGTTAGTATAACATGACAGGATAAAAGCAATGTAGAGGAGCAGCTACATTTCAACACATATATCCACGAAGATTAATACATGAAGACTTGTGACTCGGACTTGACTTGGACTCTTCTTAGGTGACTCGGACTTGGACTCGGACTCGAACACAGGTAATGATGTCTCGGACTCGACTCGGACACTCCTTGGGTGACTCAGACTTGGACTCGGACTCGGACACTCCTTGGGTGACTCGGACTTGGACTCGGACTCGACTACGACTCTCCCTTGGTGACTCGGACTTGGACTCGGACTCGAAGAGTGGTGACTCGAGAGTGACTTGAACTTGTGAATTGGTGACTTGACTACAACACTGCACCCAGGGTACTTCTCCTCAGCAGTCCCCCAAAATTGTGTGCGCTGCGCCAGAGGAGCGGAGAGACAACCCATCTCCCAGTGCAGATGAGGCAAATGATACCCCTTTTGTTGCTTTCCCTGGAGACCCAAGCACAGGTGATGAGGAGGGTGAAGCATCCTTGCTTCCAAGTTTGAAGGGCCAGTTCGGGACCGCCCAGATAGAAGACCCGAAACTGTTGCAGGCACGCAGCAATGTCGTGGAAATAAAGGGAAAACCGGTTCCCAGAGTAGGTGAGTTTACATGTCCTCGTTTCCTAATAAAAACAAATCTGTTATACAATGCCAAAGAGGTTGAAGGTCAGCGGAGAGATTTGTTGGTTGTCCACAGCCATGTCCTAGGGGCCCCGCTAGGTGTTTAGAAGACAGGCAGCGGATCGTGAGCCGGTTCCACTGGCCAGGGGTGGTAAGAGCTATAGAGGAGTATTGTTGCACCTGCGTTGAATGTCTAAAGATGAGTCCCAAACCACACTTTAAAAATCCCCTAATACCTCTACCGATAATCGATGTATCGTTTTCTCGCATTGCCATGGACTTATTGGGACTGCTGGTGAAGTCTGCCAGGGGACATCAATATATTATTGTGATCCTTGACTATGCAACCAGGTACCCGGAGGCCATTCCCTTGAGGAACATGACAACGAGAGTGATTGCACAGGAGCTGCTTCACCTGTTCAGCCGAGTTGGGATTCCTAAAGAGATGATAACAGACCAAGGAACTCCCTTCATGTCCAAGGTAATGAAGGATCTCTGCAGGCTCTTCAAGGTAAAGCAGCTTCGTACATCTGTCTACCATCCTCAGACAGACGGGTTGGTAGAACGCTTTAATAAGACATTGAAATCTATGTTAAAGAAGGTTGTTGACAAGGATGGTCGTAACTGGGACCAGCTTCTTCCCTATGTCTAGTTTTCAATCAGTGAAGTTATGAAGGCGCATAGGAAAGAGGTCTGACCCATGGTGAGAGAGCACATGGCTCAAGCCCAAGAAGCCCAGAGGAAAGTGTATTACAGAGGGGCCCAGCCGTGGGAGCTCCTGCCAGGGGATGAAGTAATTGTCCTGGTCCGAACCACAGAACAGAAATTGTGGCAAGGACCCTATGAAGTGGCAGAGAAGGTGGGACCAGTCAATTACAAGGTACGTCAATCTGGCCGTCGCAAAACATTCTAAATCTACCATGTTAATCTGTTAAAGAAATGGTACGCCCGAGATGCACTGCTGTGTTGTTCTTCCCCGGTTGTGTTTCCCTCTCCTCCAGACAATGAGGGGGCCGAAGATGAATACAGTCCAGGGCTATCCAAAGCTCAATTACAGCAAACCAAGGAGCTGGTTCAGCAGAGTTTGGATGTGTTCTCAGTACGACCTGGACGCACATCGATGGTGGAACATCAAATCTACACAGAGCCGGGCCAAAAGGTAAAGGTGCGTAAAGGGGGGGGGTGTAAGGGGCTGAAAGGCAGGGTAGTTGGAGGCACCTCCATTCCTAACAGGTGGCTCCACCCTCTCCCAATTGGCAGTATTGGGAGCAGGTTTGGAGACCCACAGAGAGATTCAGTTTGGTGTGGCACATGGAGGGAGCAGGAGGCGCCCAGTCTGAGAACACGTAAGCTGGTAAGTCGGTTTTGAAGGTGTTTTTTTAGTTGGGTAACAATAAAGCCCTTTTTGGATTTAACCACTGGCTCTGTCTTGATTGCTGCACTACTGCTTTTCTCTTTTGTCAGCCCAGTCCCATTACAGGCGGAAAAATAAACACAGTAAGAGGAATTCAGTTGTAGAATCAGAGCCAGTTTAGAACTACTGTAAAATATTTTAAAATATTAAATAGAAAATGACTGCACGGATTAAGCGTAATTGCAATGGCCTTCACTCTCCAGGAGTTTCCGAACTTATAAGAAAATACCATTCTTTTGTTATTTTTTACACAAATGGATGATTTCTACAGTATACACATGAATGCTTATCACTCTGACGTTTGCCCTTATGTGAGAATGCTTTTCATTGACTCAAGCAAACCACTAAATATTAAACTAAACTTGAGAGTGATTGTCCGAGTTACTCTGGATACACATTGTCTTTCTCTTCAGTAGAAACTGATATCCATTTCCTATAAAAGATTTCTTGGTTAATGCTCACAATCATCATATTTCATTTACCTCACCTTTTATAAACACTACAATGAGACACTTCACTCTCCTGTTTCATGAAATAATTTGGCATTTTGTATTTGTTTTATTCTTTTTCAATGCTGCATGGGTTCCAGAAATACTCCAACTGAATACCGGCAGCTCAGATTCAGTCTGGAGGTCTGTGAAGTGGTTCCTGTGCTCATGATATCTGCACCTCCACAGGGAAATGGTCACTGACGGCCTTCGCCTGAGAGAACAGACAAAGAGACACTTTAGAAAGTTTCCCCTTGAGGATCAATTTGTTAATAGTTCGACTGAGCATACATGTCTCAGTTAAACATATACCAGGTGGTTTCTTTGCACAAGATGGCCTTAAAGGAAGCTAATGGCTAATAAATAACCTTATTGGGGTTTTGTGCTTGGTGTTTTCAGAAAGCTGCTTTCAAAATATTCCTCTAAAGAGATAAAAGAAAACATTCAACACGTGCTTGTTCAGAGTCTGCTCTGAAAAAACTGAAGCGTTGACTTTAATGAAATGTGTTATGTTAACAGATTTTTAGGTTAGTTGAAAGAAGTACAAAAAAAAGGGTAGGTTCAACTTAATGTTATAGCTTTCAGCTAACCTAATACAGTTATGGGAAATATTACATTTAATTAAAGTCAACGTTTCGGCTCTCTCCTAAATGGACACTTTGAGAAAAGGTGCTAGTGCTCAGAAAAAGACCCTTTGTGCACAAAGGCTCTTAAAATGATCTTTATCGACCTTCAGACATTTAGGTACGATGAAACTACAATGAACCTGTACTAGAAAGGTGTTGTTACCTGATCCAGGGTAAGAGCATATTGATTCTTGAAGTCAAAGATGCCAGCGCTGCGGGGGTTCATTCTATTGTACATGTCATCGGTGACGACAATCCTGCAGACAGAGGAAGAGAGGCGTGATTAAGAGTGTGTGTGAATGCAACGGTGTGATTATCCAACACGCTCTCACTCCCAACTCGTCCTATAGTGACGTGATGTCAGGATCCCTTGGCGTCACCTTCAAACGCACTGGGAGGCCCTTTAGCGTCGAAACTCAACTATCAGGGAGTCCCATTGACTTGCATAGAGCTCCCTGAACGTCCGTAATAGACGAGTTGAGATCACAGAGAAAGGCTCTCCGTCGACACATTCTCACAGCGTTTATCAACCTTTTTCTAACTCAATATCAAGCCTCACTTATTGATTTGACTTCTTTATTGTAATTGTATAATGTCTGACTTTGTTGCCGTGAGTTAGGGGGAGGGGCTCAGAACACTGAGATCTGTGTTGTTTCATAGCTTTTTCTTTTAAATGTTGTATTCTTTTATAGTATAGAGTTATTTACTCAACAATAAAACACAATTACCCTTGTTTTTATTTATTTGTTTGATTGTATAATGTAGGACGAGTTGGGAGTGAACGTGTACGGCTGTATATGATTATCTGTGTGTGTTCACCTGTCGTAAGCCTGTTTAGACCCCGACACTGTAGTGTCAACAGTGTTGGCGATCAGCCAGTGGAAGACATTGATGCCGAAGAGGGGGATCGTCGGCCGCTTGCTCATCGGGACATAATTGCTGCCTGCGTTGAAGTCTCCGAGCACCATGATGTTCTGCAGGCAGAGGGGAAAAGCTCAATTCATTTTTATTTTAAAACTAGATCAGAATAATGTCATGGTAATGGGCAATCTAAAAACAAAACAACAAATGTAATCGGCCCCTTTCTAAACGTTGCTCTCTGTCGGGGAAATCCACTCATTTTACATAAAAGCGGCTGTAGTACTCCCGCTACCTGAACAAACTGAGTATCTGTATGGAAGCCCACTTCTGCTAATGTTGTGAATAAAAAAGAGCCTTTAAGTTATTATAATTAGAAATGTTTGTCAAATAATGACTTAGTATCTTAAAATTATGACTTTTAAATGTGTTTGATACCATGTGATTTTGAGAACGTTTCTCATTGTGTAGTTAACTAAGTATTATTTTGAGATATGTTTTTACATACAGTCTATGGTTTTTACGTTTGGTTTGACCATTTATTCAAAATGACTTAAGGGATATTTTCTTGTGTTTTTATCAAATTGGCAGATATGGGCTTCCATAGTAATATGTTTTCTACTACTTTTACTAAAAGTTCGGCAAAAGAACAGTTTGGTGTTTCTACGGTTGTAGAGTTTTACATTGTTTTGCCATTTTGTTTTGGCCTCGTTCACCACGTCAGTAAGAGCCTTGAGTTCTTCTACAGCAGTAGTTGGAGAGGTGTGAATGGGGATCAGAACAAAGTCCGTCACAGCTGGAGACCAGGAGAGAGAGAGGAGTGAATGAAGAGAGACAATGAAAACAGGAGAAATACCGCTAAAGTAAGTAAATGAACTTCATCACATTCAACCA